CCATGTCCTCGATTTTGTCGTACTTGGGAGGGTTCATGGAGAAGATTTGATCTTCCTTCACAGTCAGGGTCTGTCAGAGGGCAGGAAGGGACATGAATGGATGTCAGTTAAGAATCCACAGTAGGAAGGAAATGCTGTTTGTAAATCTTGCATTTTACTCACCTCTCCCCCTTCAGTCTTGACAGTGACTTTCCCTGATTCCCTGCTCTCAATTTTCCCTTTCACAAAGGATTCTTTAGGATGAACCACAAAGACGGATGTCTTGGCATCAAAAGGCTTGTTCTGGGCCTCGATTCTCTCCTTTTCTGATTTTCGGAGGTAAGGAGCTGCCTCCCCAAAGACAGCCAACTCAGCATCTGCAGACGTCATGTCTGCACTTTGTTGAAGGCACGTCAGCAGAGAACCCTGAGGGACAATACAAATGTAACAACCATAGATCATTAATGTATTGCAAGGACATCTTTTCCAATGCTTTCAAATTAAGCCCATACTAGAATTGCTAAAACTGGCAAAATTTGCCTTCCTTGAATTTAATGATTTAAACCCAGAAGAGAAAAATATTGTTTCATCTTTGATGAATATAGACAACCCTTTTTAAATTCCTGTTATTTGATTCTTATGACACTGTACTTCGGCTTTATGGGTTGTACCATCTTATTTGAGAATATGAAATACATTTAATGAACGTTGTTATTCTAATATGAAATTAAAAAAAATACGAGTATAGATTGAAAATATATGACTGCCTTGAAAGCAGATCGAAAAAGTTAGTTCAAGACCAGTTTCAAAGGGAAAAATATATTGCATAATATGCAATAACGGGGGATACCTAATTTCAGCAAATCACTAGACACAGTGCACTTACCTTGAAACTGTTCTAGGAGACAGGGCAGAGCACTGCAAAGACACTTTTATAGAGTCTGGTTGGCAGATGCTCTGGATTCTTCCTCTTTCTTCGGTCAAAACATTTTTTGCCAAACATTCTTTGGCAAAGCATTGTCTGGCAAACTGAACTAAGGGCATAATTATCATTTGATTTGACGAGATATAATTAGAAATGTTTTGTATCTTACCAATGCTGTGAATGTATTCACTATAAATAATTTGTCTAGAAACATAAGGGCAGAATCTCAATTAGTCAAAGCACTTGGAGAACTTGGATGTAGGACCAATAGATTATACTGCTGCATTTCCAGTGATTTCCTCCTGGACTCAAGGCAGACTTTTGCTGCATAACTGTGGTGCAACTCTGATACATCCTCAGTCCAGCACTTACACCCCATCACAAATATCTTGTACTGTCACTTGAACTGCTTTAAACAGTGTCAGTTCTAAACACTCTCTTCCTCTCGTCATTGGCATTTTGATTGCTAAAAGAGCTCAGAGGATAAAGATCAGTGAAGAGCACAGGGGCAAGGCCAGAAGAAATGGTGCCTGTGATCCAAGGAGATCCAGCACCAAGCAGTGGCCTCGGCATGAACAGCTTGTTCCAAGGAGAAGCACACACTTCCTTGAAGTTCAAAACCAGAGCTCCCTGTGGGCTCCCTGGGCAGTGGTGGGGGGAGGCTGAGGGAAACACCCTTTGTCCTGCCCAGGAGGAGCCCAGAAACAACCCGTGTAAAACAGTGAGTGCAGGGGCACAGCAGAAGCCCTGTCTCTCTGGGCAATGGACTGACTGTCTCTCAAACTCCCTTGGACATACAGACCTTAGAGGACAGCACCACTGAATGGTTTGGGTTGGAAGGGACCTTAAAAGAATAATCAATCTGCTGGGCAGGGGAATGTCTGACTGGGTGAGGTTGCTCAAAGCTCCATGCAGCTTGAGCTTGCACACTTCCAGTGATGGGGCATTCCTGTAATCTGGGGCCAGTCTGTTCCAGTCTGGCCTTGTCTTAACAAATGTCACTCCTATATCTAACCAGAATCGACTTTCTCTCCAATGTGTTGACCTCAACACATGGCTTGGTGTCACCAGCAGACTTGCTGATGGTGTACTCAATTCCACCGTCTGTGTCCCTGACAAAGATGTTAAATAATGCAGATCTCAAAACAAAGCCCTGGGGGACACCACTTGTCACTCATCTCCACATGAAATTCAAGCCACAACTCTTTGAATGTGATCATCCAGACAATGTACCATAGCACATTTTCCAGGAGGATCTGCAGATTCATTAGCTTGTAATTCCCTGGGTCTTCCTTTTGCCCCTTTTTAACAGTGGGTGTTATGTTTCCCTTTTTTCAGTCAGTGGGAACTTCATCAGACAGCCATGACTTTTTAAGTGTGATGGATAGTGGCTTAGCCTCTTCATCTGCCAGTTCCCTCAGAACGTGGGGATGCATCTCATCAGGGCAATCTCTCACCTCTCCTTCCTTGACTGTCCCTTCTGAGCAGTTATAGCTTTCAGTCACAGCATTCCAATCACACAATCCATCCCAACAAGTTTCTGTGGTAGCAATCAGGCCATAGTGCCCACCTGGGCAGTGGCAACCAGTTCCTTCTGTTGGTTTCCCACACTATGACACCGGTTGAGAGGTGCTTCAGCTGGGCCACATCCCCTGTTAGAGGAGTTTGCCCTCATTCCTTTAAGACAATACAGTGGTGTTTCCCTGTTTCTGGCTAAAGTCTCAGCAGCCCCTGGCTCTTCTCCAGTGATTTCAACTCTTTTCTCTTCCCTTGCTAAATAGAGTTCAATATGTCATTAATGAAGATACCAAATAGTATTGATTCCAGTATGAACCCCTGAGGGACACCACTGATTTCCACTTGGAAATTGAGTCTTGAGCTATAATTTCTTGGATGCAGCTAGACAGCCAATTCCTTATCCATCTAGCAGTCCATCCATCGGAACCTCAGCTCTGCAATTTACTGGCAAGGATGTTGTGAGGGACCATATCAGAGGCCTCATAGAAGTCCAAGTTGATGACCTCAGCTGCTTTCCCTTGTCCACTAAAGCAGTCACTCCATGGTAAAAGGCCACTAGATTAGTCAGGCACAATTGGCTCTTCGTGAAAGGAGTCTTAGAATTTTCTTAACAACCATTTTTCCTTCCATGAAGATGCTGGGAAGTCTCTGTTCATTACATCAGAGATCTCAAAGCCAAAGATCTCCAGCACACCAATGAAGTACTGCCTGGGCTGCTTGGTTGGTGCAAACGACCATCCACAGGAACAGACTTTGACAAAGGTGTGACTGAAACAAAAAAAATACACAAAGTCACTGCACAGAGAAATATTAACAAATTATAGATTTCTTAAGAGAAATTCTAACCATGTACTCCTAATATTTTACTATGTATTCCTCTATTTTACTTCCTCCATAGTTTGACCTTTGGTCACAAATTCATTCCCAACTTTGATTCGAGTATAACACAGGATCAGAGCATCTCTGCTCAGTACAGACCCATCACCCTTGTCAGCAACTGAAAGACAAGAGAGACAAAGAAAAAACTGATCTTTGGACATGGACTGGAACTCGATCATTGTGTATTTGTGTGTCAGAAATGTCATTAATACTCAAAATTCTTCATTGCAAATCTTTTGATCTAGTGTCACAATCAACACTGAATACAGGAACGCCATGAAAGCCAATATTGCTATTTTTCTGAATGCAGTTATCAGTAAGAAAACCTTCCTTGGATATTTTAACTGCATTTGTAAATGAATTATTTTAATAACTTTCACTTTAAAAAGCCATTAAGATTACAACCAGACTTCTTAGTCACAGTCTAAGAAAGCTCCTTTATTTCGATAGGCCATGGTCTGTACTGTCATTAGGAGAAGTATATATATGACAAAGCAAGGTCTAGAGCCTATGTATGAAACTAGGGACATTTTGTTTTCTAAAAACCTTGTCAAAACTCTCTGCATGCCAAATGGTAAAATGCACGAAAATATCCCATCAAAAAACAAACTGAAGGAGCACCATTTAGTAAGAGATGCCAGGGAGCAGAGAATCAGGTTCACAGATTCATGTACACTAAAAGAAACATTATTTAGTTTTCACATGATTAAGCAATAGCTTTTGTCCTGTCTGAAAAAAAAAGGTATTTCACAAAACTGATTTCTTTATTAAAAGGTTAGTTGGTAAGGGTTTTCTATGCCATGCACCTCTGCCTGGTCCTGCCATTGTTTCTGCTTGAACTTCAGGTTCTCATAGTGTGTAACAGCCCCTGTCAGCTTGTAGGTGGCTGTTTTCCTATCAGCAGTGAAACCCAGGATGTCATGACTCAATGCTACCAAAGACATGAAGTAAAAGCATTGCCTAAAAACCTTAACAATCCCATTTAAAATAATCTCTTTATAGCACTTGTATCTGTAGGCACCAGCTCCTCCTGGGCATCAGTGATGAGCTCCCCTTGACTCAGGGTTGGTGGTGATGAAAGAGGCTGAAAGAGGAGGAGTCAAGGCACAGGCTTCGCTTTGCCAACCAGAGGACAGAGGAAACTGGCCTGGGCAAGGTGTTGCAATGCTGACATTTCCCATGAAGAAGAGACTTGAGCATGCTAAAAATAAAGCATCCTGAGAAAGACATCAGGCAGCTGCCTCACTCTCTGCCAGCTCTCAAGATATGACTTCTCCTCCATCAGAAACTGTGTTAACAGGCATAGAGAGAGAGAATACTTAGCAACATGTCACATTCTAAGTGAAAATATGTACAGACATAGACACAGATTTCCAGCCTACGGCCAGGCAAAATCTCACACTAGGTTTTAAATTTGCATTGTGAACTGGACACTTGAGTTTATAACATTCGACTGTGGAAGAAATTTTTTGAAGTGTGATGCCTTCTTCATTACTTTTATCCATGAGTTTCAATGGGATCATTAGTGTAAGAAGCCCCATGATCCTTGTTGAGGTGACAGAATCTACTGCCAAAAATAAACATAGGAAAAGAGTGACCAGATCTCTATATAGTACTCATCCATTCTGTTTTACAACTTGAAAAAAGAGGATTGAACAGGAACAGAACACTGCTGACTTCTTACATTTGGCTAAGAAGGCCTTTGCATCTTGTCTTACTATAAACAGGTTGCCCTCTGGCAGCCAGCAATTCCACTATGGTAGAAAATAAAATAAGAGGTCCTATTTCCTCTGTCATATGGTGCAACAGTGAAATTCTGTTCAATTTATGATTTTTATATGCTCATCAACTGCCTTTGGCAGTCTCATTAGTTTCCATTTTTCACTCATTTCCCAGTACAGTCCTAACAATTTCAGACATGTCTTGGGGATATTTGTTAATCCACTGGGGCATTCACTCAGAGGGCAGTAGATTAATAAGTCCTAGCTTGTAGATTCGTAAGGGAACTTCCACATCCTGCCTTGTGTTGAGAAATTGTGACTCCTGAGTTTTGAGTTCTGTAACTTTTCCTGAAGATTGGCTA